CTTTGTTTACTTATGCAACTTAGGATTGGATGCAATATAGCAACCTATTGATTGCCACAAAATAGATTAATAGGTTTTGTAATACAAACTCTTGAAGTAGATACTTTATCCACATTAATTCATAGATAGCGTAAGCCATAGCCCCGTACTTTGCTTCTGCACTGCTTTTCACCACCACACTCTATTTCTTGCTCCTCTAAGAAACTAGGTTACCTCCTAGTAGTGTGCAATACCTAGTAGTAAATCTTCTATCCAATGAGTGTTGGAATGTTAATTTTATTTCTTATGTTTGTGTTCTGCTGAGTTAGGGTCCATTAGGACTAGTTAAAGTAGTTTTTTTTTCTTTGTTTTTTGTACTATAACTTAAGTAGGGGCATAAGGATCCTTTCCCTTTTAATTATGGTCGCCCTATATATATTAATATAAACTGGCGCCGCCAGCCATAGTTGTTGACTCCAAAACACTCTCTTCTCTTCTTCTTCCTCTCTTCTCCTCTATTCGGCTATTAATATGGTATCAGAGAGGTTCTGCTAGGCCTGTGAGCAGATTGAACAAGTTTCCACTTCCTCAACTTGCTGTCTTTTTCAACTATGATCAAAAGGACAGACCTACGACTGGTACAGATCCTTTTAATATTTTTTTTTTCTTTTATCTTGGTCGTGTACCAAGAAAAAAACCATATGAATTCAGACCGCTGAATGCCTTCTGAGAAGTTGTGAGGTTCGAACCTCTTTTTTTATGGATCATGTGATCCCATATCTGAAAATACAGATCTGTAAGTCGTGGATGACCTGATTTTTTAACCTTTATGGTGTGACCGTACTGGTTTATGACCCCTCCTAGGAGTCAAGTGTTTGGATGGTCTAGAAGTTGGTGGAGTGTGACTGTTTGGACAGTTCAGCACTGAGATCAACCTAAAATCTTGCCTTTTTTGGACAATCTAAGCTGGTTTGTGGTCAGATTTTGTCCAGATTGCAGTGTGTGCATGTGGGCTTCATCCTTGGTGTGTTTCTAGGGCTGTTTTTTGGTGATAGAAGGGATCATAAGGTGTGTGTAAGATCTGAAAAGTGTTTGAATCATGTCCTCTAAGAATTCTGCAACTTCTAGAATTTTAGGTCAAAATGGAATGAGTGGGGGGGGATGGATACGAGTTTCCCCATGGCTGTAATCCCCTTTGATGGACTGAACTATTTTGAATGGTCTAGGGAAATTAAACTTTATATTAGTGCTAGGAGAAAAATTGGGTATATTAATGGTAAAGTGAAGGAACCAAAGACTGGTAGTGCTGAACATGACGAATGGGACCAAGAAAATAGTATGGTGGTCATGGCTCTTGGTTTCCATGCTGCCACAAGTAAGGAAGACTTTTATGTGGGCTGAAACAGCTTGTGAAATAAGGGAACAAGCAAAATCTACTTATTCAGAACAGAGACACTATGCAAAGATATATCAATTACAAGCTGAATCCTCCACTTGCAAGCAGGGGGAGAGGAGTCTCTCGGTGTACTACTCAGATCTGACATCAATTTGGAAGGAATTGGATCATTATCAAAATGTGAATTGGAAGTGTGATGAGGATGCAAAGGCCTATAAATCACTTGTTTCCCAACAATGGGTATTTGCTTTTCTTTTGGGGCTGAATCCTACATATGAATCCGTGAGGGTACAAATCTTAGGAAGTAAGAACTTACTTTCAGTTCAAGAAGTTTATGCCCTAGTTCAGTCTGAAGAGAGTATAATTGTGATGAATTGTACAGAAGGGGAACCAGTTGCACTAGCTATTCAAGGGGGTACAAGTTCAAATGTCGGAGGTTCTTTTAAAAAGGTGATTCACATAAGAGAGTGGATGACAAAGACAAACTTTGGTGCACTCACTGTCAAAAGTCCATGCACACTAGAGACACATGTTGGGATCTTCATGGCAAGCCTAAATGGGCTTAGGAATTGAGAAGTTTGATCCTAGTAAGAAGCTAACCCACCAGAGTCAGGAATTGAGTAAGAAGTCTAGTCCCATGGTACCCAGGAGCGACACTCTGGTTCTAACCCCAAGGATGAGATCATCAACTCTTTTCGTGACCACTTGGAATTATATGATAGGATACTTCCCCAAACATCAATATGCATTAAATGGAAAGCAGCATTACTTCTCTTGTTACTTGCAAAATATGTGGTTCTACATTGCTTTGATAGTTGACAGACTTCACATTGTAGACCAGAACTAGACAATCTCAAACAAACTAGGAAACAAAAACAATGAACCAAAAGACACATGCCCAAGACGGTGATGCCACAACTTCAATTGASTTAGTTTTTCATCATGATAGGACTCAGATTAACACATTAACCCAAACTTTGGAGACTGATCAAGAAGATAAACTCCATCGGCTTCATGTCCACTGCCAATCGTCTTCCCCGTACTCAGATCCTAGAAGACACAATAAGATGGAAAGAATGTTACAGAACAATTATGAGACTTTGTAAGAGAGATAACAGATAAGAGATTTCTACGCAGTTGTGGGACATGGAGAACTAATTTTGTTGGTTATCAGCAACAGTAATCTTACCTTTCCCTGAAAAAAGTTTATACGTGGTAAAGTAGGAAGGCATACTAGTCATATGATCACTGGCTCCTGTGTCAAATATCCAAGAGCCAGAGGATGAGGCATGACATGCAAGTGCAGTACCTAATTTTGCAAAAGCACTAGAAGGTGTATGTGAACCAGCAGATGTAGGTAACCTACTCTTTTCTAGATGGAGCAAGATGCCTCTCAATTTTTCCATCACATCAGAGGTGTCATGAGTAGATGCCTGAGCAGAAGAATTTCCCTCAAGCATGTGAGTCTAAGAATCATGACTAGCTATAGCAACATGAGCATTTACCTTTCCAGTTTTAAACTTCTCAGGCTTTAGGTGGGGATTTAGTTTCCAGCACCTATCCTTGGTGTGCCTTGGCTTCTTGCAATATTCACAAACTACATCTTCAGGTTTACTAGAACTCTGTTTGGGTTTTGTAGACACAAGAGCTGTGTGCTCACTGACAGGAACTTGCATCATGTCAATCCTCCTACTCTCTTCATTCTGCACCAAAGAATATGCTGTGGAAAGTGACAAAATATCAACACTAAGGATGTGTTGCCTGGTGAAATCATAATCAACATTCAATCCAGCAAGAAAATCAAAACTCGGTTTTTCACAATGCACCTCCTGTATTGTTCAGCATCAATAGGATCTTTCCACTCCAAAGCTTCTAAATGATCCATTTGTTCCCAAACTGATTGTAAGGAAGAGAAATACATGGCCACCGATTTTTCCCTCTGTCGCATATTACATGCTTCTCTTCGCAACTGATAGATTCTAGCTGTGTTCTTCGCTTGAGAATAAGTTGAAGTTACCCTATCCCAAATGTCCTTAGCTGTTGGAAGGAACATATAGTTGCGGGCAATGTGAGGCTGCATAGAGCATACCAGCCATGACATAACTAGCAAATTATCCTGCTCCCATTCCTTACCGGTAATAAACCCAAGCTTACCTCTTCCTCCGATTGTGAGCTTAGATGATTGAGACCATTCAAGAAAATTTGTTCCATCAAGTTGTACAGTAGTATTTGCCCTCCAGCACTGTCATTACTTCCCGTGAGTCCATTGATCACCACCCCTCTAAGAACACTTTTCTCACCAACACCACAATCTCCCAACACTAGTTGAACACCCAAACACCTTTCCTTGAAGGTTAGACACGGGCTACACCAATAAACAAAAGAAAAGAAGGTGCTGGTGGGAAAATAGAGGAAGAAAAAAATTCCCAAAAAAATTTTTAGGGTTCCAAAAAATCTGAGACTACTTCCTGTAATCTCAGAAATTTACCACACTTCAAACACAAGTGGGTTTAACAACAACCAGCCCACCATGCTTGCATGCAAGCCCTAAACTCCAAATCTGTAAATTTTGCCAATTTTATTCTAAAAAATCCAAGAAAAATGTAAAAGAGCTTCAAACCTCCATGAAATGTATATCAAAATTCCTCTAAAAATGAGGCGCATCAAGGGGTGTCAAAACCACAAATGAACGTTTTTGACTGTATCGGTTGCTGATGTCAACCGGCGGCATGCTGATGTCAGCAGTCTTGCCTGTGAGTCACGACCAGCGGCTGATGCTCTCCTTGATCTTCCGATGCTCTGAGATCAAGTTAAAGTGGTCGAGAAGAAGGAGGAGAAGAAGAAGAGGAAGAAGAAAGGTTTATCAAAGAACACAGGTGTGTTACTGTTCACACACTGAAGAGTCTTTCATAACAAAAATGAAGAAAATTACAAATGGGCCCTTGAATAGGCGCCCAAATACAAAAAGGATGAAAGGACATAAATGCCCTTACATTCTCAACATTTTAGCATTTTTTACTTTTTGTGCCTTGCTTAAAAAGGTGCGAGCCTCGCCTTGTGCCTCAGGCGCAAATTGACCCCTGCGCCTTTTTTGCACCTTGCACTTTTAAAACACAGAGATAGATATTAAATGTATAATATTTTCAGCAGGTTTATTATAATCGGGTCTATCAGGTCAGGCCTGATTGTCCTGAAAACCAATCAGTTCGGTTCTGGTTCTACCCAGACCTGACCCGTTGACATCCCTAATAATTTTAATGCTGTAATTTTAGTCATCCAAGTCAGGATGGCTATTTCATCTAAAACAACAGCCAAGCACAAACCCCTATTTATCACCTGAAATAGTATAAATTTGGCAGTATCTGATGAAAGGTTAAATTAAATTGAGTAATGTATCCAATTTAGAAGATATAATTTTTTTGTACAATTTATGGAAATGAATTTTGTCTGAAACGCTTCTGTACTCATAAACATTAAGTATTCCTTAAGAAAACAAACAATGGTATTTTCAGAGGTCACCTGTGTTAGTTTCATAGCTTGTTATGTCAATTATACATATCTAGTTATAATTTTGAGTTATGTTCTCATTCTTTCTTAGATGCTGACCAGTTGTCTTCTGTCACAGGTGGGCACCATTCTTGATATAGTAGAGCAATTTGTCGAAGAACAAACCCTTGACACTTTATCTACAGATAAGTAAGTGCATCTTCTAATCTCTAGGAAGTCTTGAAGGGAAAGAGAGTGGGAGATAAGATGATAATTGTTCAATGAAATAATTGTTTTATTAGAAGGCATTAAAATTGTTCAATGACATCAATATTTCATCATTTGTTTTTGAGTAGTCGGGTTGTCAAATGTCTCTACTAGAAACTTCATTGGTTTAGAATTGATGCAATAAAAGCCTTCATTTCTTTAGATAGTATATGCATGATTTTCA